ATCCTAAATCACATTGGCAAAGTCTCTTTTGTCATCTAAGGTAACATTTATAGGTTTCAGGGAGTGGGACCTGGTTATCTTTGGACACTTTCATCTGGCCTACCACCGGGGGCAGGTGCCTTTTCATCACCCCCCAGACTGCTTTCTTCATTCTTCCTAGACCCCGGCTACCTTCTCCAGTTTAGGAAAGCAGCCGCCATGCGTGTTCACAGATGCAAATAAATGCTGACACTGGGGAGTGACGTCCATGTCAGGAGTGTCAGGGCCCCAGCCTGGCAACCAAGTGCCCTGTGATGGAGGTGAGATGCCCAGTCCTGGGTGTCATGGAAAGCAGGTGACAGGTCAGCGCTACAGAGCTAAGCCTCTGAGGAAGTCAAATCAGCCTCATCAGCTAGTCACTGTTGGAGCCAGCAGCAAAGCAGGGACTCGGAGCCAGCTGCCCGGCTCTCTCACAGGCTTTTCTTCTATAGTCCCTAGGTAATTCTGTCTCCCCATTGAGCACTGATAGTGGCAGCATCTTCACAGTCAACACTATTATCCCTCTGCCACCATCACTGTCACTGCCCCATCACCAGCATGCTGGGTTCAACCCAAGGCTGGAAAGAGATGAGCATTGGACATAGGTTCAGGCTGACACCCAAGAGTCAATGTGGGATCTAACCAGAGCCCCAACCACAGGGCCCTAAAGCAGTCGCAGGTGGAGATGGGTCTGAGATGGGCATGCACAATCGACCTTCCGGGAGGCAGGAGCAAAGAACATCTGTGCAATGGAGTCTGCCTCTGAGGACTGCATTTAAAATGTGGACTGCATTTAAAAAGCAGTGTTTTAAAGTCACCACCATAATCATCAACAGCTAATGCATAATGACAACTGTGGCCATTAACAACATTGTCGCCACCCACCTACGGAAGTTCATGAGCACCAGTGCCAGCGCCAGGAAGGCACTGGTTGGAGGGAAGACTGAGGAAGTCATGGCAGCCAGGCGCAGAGCAGGGTATTTGCCAGGGGAGTTGGGACTTTATCTCAAGGCCAGTGGAATCCACTGAAGAGTTTTAAGCGGATATGGCCAGCTTTACATTTTGAGAAGTCACTCTGGCAGCATCGTGGCTCCTGGGTTATAGCAGAGCAAGGCTAGAGGCAGGGAGGCCTGTTGGAAGGCTGTTGCCATGGCCTAGGCCTGGCCTGAGGCGTGGAGGAGAGTGTCCAGGGAGAGAGATCACATGGGGAGAGAAAGAGCACACACAGACTCGGGGATGACACCCACACGTGAGGAGCCAGTAGGGGAAGGTGGAACACAAAGGAAACTGAGGCTAGCCAGAGATGCAGGAAGAAAGTGAGAAGAGTCCATGTCCCTGAAGTCAAGGCAAGAGGATGTTTCAAGAAGGGGGAAGTGTCAGCAGCAGCACGCGATGCTCAGGGGTGGCAAGGGGAGCAATGAAAGGTGGAGTTGGTGCTCGGGAGCTCACTTGTGTGCAGTCTTGTTGAGACACGAGGGGTCGGCGAAGCCTGACTGCTGCGGCTGAGGAACGAGTGGGCGCTGAGAAAGGACAGCAAGTAGAGCCGGGGCTCTCTGGGAGTTTAGATGTGACGGGAAGGCGAGGAAGGGACAGCGAGGTCCAAGGAGCACCTTTTTGGATAGCAGAGATTCGAGCAAGTTTATATGTGATGGGAAGGATCCTGTAGGCAGAGGTTGAAATTTTGGAATAAGTGGTGATTGGTTGCTATGGTTTGAATGAGTTCACGTGTTGGAAACATAATCGCCACCATATAGTTGTAAGCGAGGAGATTAGGCCGCGAGGATTAACGCCGCTGTTGCGGGAATGGGCTTGGCGTAAGCTAGGCCCCTTCCTTTCTCTCTAACTCGCATGCTCACTTCCACCCCTCCTTCCGCCACGCAGTGACCACCCCCCAGATGCCAGCGCCACACTCTTAGGCTTCTCAGCCTCCGGAACCATGAGCCTCATAAACCACTTTTCTTTATCAATTACCAACCTGTGGTGTCCTGATGTAGCAGCACTAAGCGACTAGGACGCTGGCGGCACAGGACGAAGACACGGCAGATAAGGAAAAGGCAGGCGGATTGCCAGGCGGCGCGGCGGCGTACCAGAGGCGGGCCCGGAGCCGGCCAGTCTGTGCCGCTGGGCCTCTTTCTCCGGCTGCCTCTCCGCCCGCTCTGGCGGCGCCTGTGGAGAGTCGATGGTCGCTTTGATCCAGGCCTTGGGTGCCAGGTTGACAGACAAAGGACCATGAGGCAGGGGAGTTGAGCTCACTGGCGAGCTAAGGTTGAGGTGTGGCTCTTGAGCGCTAAGGTGGGGAGGGAAGGGACTGAGGGCAGGAGGGCTGGGTGGACAGAGCTCGCCACCGTCAAAGGTAAACAAAGCCGGGGTTTATTCAGTGCTAGCTATTGCCATAGAGAAGAGGGTTCTGTGTGAACTGAGCTCAACCTCTCTGAAAAAAAAGGCAAGAGATTTTTTAAAGTGGGGTGAGCTAGGGGAAAGGCACTGAAGGGCGGAAACGGGGGGTGACTAGGCCAGCTGGGTTTGGTAAGTGGCACTGATACAAGTCAGCCTCCCACCCTCCCACAGAGACTGGACGCCACGGACCCTTGACTAGACCAAACGACAAATTCTCCCGGCAGCGGGAGCTTCCCAGGCGGGAACTTTAGAGGCCGGAGCCGCCTGCCGCTGCGAGTGTTTGTTTGAGTCCCTCAGCACCAGGGTTCAGACGGGGCACGAGCTGAGAGTCGCTCTGAGTTCCCGTGCCTGCCGTGGCATGCAGGTAGGAAGGGAGAGCCGGAGAGCAGGTGGAAGGAGCAGAGGCGGAGTTCACATGGGAGCCTGAATCTCAGGCTTTAGGCTTTAGAAGCGGAGCGTCTCGAGGTTGAGGACGCGGGAGTTGGTGGCTGAAGGTGAGGAGGAGGCCCTGGAGAGCCAAATGTCAGCCGAGGCACGTGCAGTTGTCTCCGTGAGGGCAGGCATCGGGCGGGGGAGGAAGCCAGGTGGGGAAGATGCCTGAGTGACAGCAGGAGGTGGCCGGCTCTGGGAGCCCCTGTGGAGGAGGGACGGTCCGGGCGGGGCCACAGGGAGTGGCCACCCTGCTTCCTGACCATGGGGTCTGGGAGAACGAGGGTCCTCCTGCAAGGACCGCACCGGAGGGGCCTTCTCTGAAGAGGCCGACATGAGACACTGACCAAAACGTTCAAAACCAGACCCAGCCCTGAAACCATGGCAGCTGTTCTGTGCACCCTTTGGGTGGAAAATCACGTCCTTCCCATCCCCAACTTAGCACCTGGCGCAGGAGGCAGAGAGGAGAAAGAGTTGCACAGATTCCCACAGACTGAGCGGGTGCTTCCCTGCGGGTCCCAGCCAATTCCAGTCTGAGGACCATTTTTCTCTGAAGACAGCTCTGACTTCAAACTTCAAAATGCACTGGACACAATAGCAGCTGTGACTGAGGAAGCTGCTCGTGGTACCCGAGGAGAAGAGCCCCGCCTGGGCTGGACAGAAGTGCCCTCCAACCCTGGCTCTTCCCCTACCCTCAGGACCCTGAGCAAGTGAGGCAACCTCTTTGAGCCTCAATGTAATCACCTGTCAAATGGGGATAAAAGCCACTTACCTGGCAGGGCTCTAGCAAGGATTACACGAGCTAATCTGTGCTAAGCACTTGGCGTGGCGCCTAGCACAGAGCAAGCTGGCCCAGGTGCTAGTTCTCATCGTGACTGTGAATGCACTCACACTTCAAGACCAACTTGTGTTTGGTTCGTCACAGGAGCATCTGCACACGGGGGCCTGGCTGCTCGTGTGCACGGAGGGGCCTTCCGTACTCCATCAGCTGGCTGGGCCTGGGAGAGGCCCCAGATGCTGAGGCCCCTTGCGACGACTCAGGGGTCTCACGGGGGCCCTCGGCTGGCCCACATTTGCACCCACCACACTCTGTAACCTGGTCTCTCCCTGAGGGAGGCATTATTAAGGAAACTGAGGCCGAGGGAGGGTCAGGCATCTGCCCGTGGGCCACAGAAACCCGCGGCAGAGCTGGGCGGGAGCCAGGCTCACGCCCCTCCCTCGCTGTCTTCCCGCGGCAGCTTCAGCCTGCTGGCGTCCCGCAGACGCCTGGGCCCGCGGCTGCGTGTTTGCCATGTTGCTGCTGTCACCGCCAACTGCTCTGTCGCCCGTGGGCGTGTGGGCCCCGGCTCCAGGAACTGTTGTCCCAACTCTGATTGTGGTTCCAGATTTAGTCACATTTCTGTCTCAGCCCGTCAGAGTCTGTCACAGCCCCGGCACAGTCTCAATCAAAGTCCCCATCACAGCCTTTGCCACAGCCTCTGTCACAGCCCCGGCACAGTCTCAATCAAAGTCCCCATCACAGCCTCTGCCACAGCCGCTGTCACAGCCCCGGCACAGTCTCAATCAAAGTCCCCATCACAGCCTTTGCCACAGCCTCTGTCACAGTCGCCATCACAGCCCCGGCACAGTCCCCGCCAGAGTCGCAGTCACAGTCCCATCCAGTCTCTATCACAGCCTCTGCTGCAGCGCTGTCACGGCTTCTGTGACAGTCCCGTTACAGTCGCTGTCCCAGCTCTGCCACAGCTCCATCACAGTCTCTATCACAGCCTATGTGACACCCTGTGTCACAGCCCCAGTCACAGCCTGTGTCACAGCCCCCGTCCTAGCTCTGCCACAGCTCCATCCAGCTCTATCACAGCCTATGTGACACCCCGTGTCACAGCCCCTGTCCCAGCTCTGCCACAGTTCCATCCAGCTCTATTACAGCCTATGTGACACCCCGTGTGACAGCCCCTGTCCCAGCTGTCACAGCTCCATCCAGTCTCTATCACAGCCTATGTGATACCCCGTGTCACAGCCCCAGTCCCAGCTCTGTCACAGCCCCTGTCCCAGCTCTGCCACAGCCTATGTGACACTCCCTGTCACAGCCCCTGTCCCAGCTCTGCCACAGCTCCATCACAGGCTATCACAGCCCTGTCACAGCCCATGCCGCAGTCTCTAACACCCTCTCCCTGGCTCTGCCTCTGCTCGGGGCCCTACATGGGGGCCTGCGGGGCCCTGCACGGTGGCCTGTGGGGTACAGCTCTCATCACATGGCCGAACTGACCTCTCCGGAAGGCGTCCGGCGGGAGGAAGGCCATGTGCTCGCAGGTGCCCTGGCGAGCGGGCTGTGGGAGGGAGGTTGGGCCTGGGGCGTGTGGGAAAGACGTGCTCCTCAGGGAGCTGGAGCTGGGCCTGGCTGTGGCCCACTCCGTGTGTGCCACGGGGCCAGGTCCTGGCCCCACCTCTGGCAGGATGGCTCCACGGTTTCGCACGTTGCTCTCATCTCCTTGCCCTGCCACGAGCTCCCAGGGGCAGGGACTGTGTCCTGTTCTTTTTGCTCACTCACTGCAGAGCTGAGCACAGGCCTGGGCTCCAGGGCACAACCTAACGACTCTCCCCGAAGTCCTGGCCTGTCTCAAGTCATTTCCAGTTGTCCCCCTTTGCCTGCAGAGCAACCACCTTTATGTCCTGTGTTTGCTGCTCCTGAATGCTTGCCCGCCCCGCGCCCGGGCTCCCCCTACCCCGCTCTGCTTGGCGTGCCCCATCTCTCTGCCTCCGCCAGACCAATTCAGACACGGCCACCTCCCTGCTCCCCCTGCTCTCCAGCCTCTTATCCACGCAGCCCGCTTCTGCCCCTGGCTTCCGCATGTCAGGTTTGGAATCTGTCTTAGTCTTGCCTCAGCCTGCAGGTGCCTGGCGCGGGGGGCCGGCTCCCACAGCCCGCTAGAGCAGGCCCTCCAGCGCCCGCTGGGTAAATCCACGGCGCGTGGCTGGGCCTTCTAAGAAAGGGGTGCAGTGACACTGGAGGAGAAAGAAAATGTGGAGAAGTGATGGAGAGGGCAGAGCCCAGTGTCAGTGGGGACTCCGAGCCAAGTCCCCTTCCTGGGCCATCTCAGGGACCTGGGAAGCCCCCTCGCCCCGGCACGGCCCCTCCCTCCCCCGCCCTCCCAGCCCCACGTGCTGAGGCTCTTCGCCTCCTGGTCCATTCTGTCCCTTCCTTCTTTCCCTCCCTGGCGCCTCCAGCCCCGGCTGATGAGGGTGGTGGCCCTGTCTGAACTCACTTCAGCCTAGATTCCAGACGCGGGACAGAGGAGTCTCTGGTACTTACTTCTTGGCAGCTGTGCTCAGCCGGCACCTCAGGGGCCGCCCCCTCCCCGCGCCTCCCTCTCCAGCCTGGCTCTGAGTCCAGGTGGCCCAGACGTCCTGGAGCCCCAGCAGGACACAGAGACATAGTCCAGGCCTGGCTGAGCTGTCAGCACATTTTTCTCCAGCCTTCCTGGGGTGGAGGGGGCACAAGGTCCTACCAGTGCTTTGGCAGAGTCCCCAGGGAACATCTGGGTGTGTAGGACCGGGGAGAGTAGGGCGATCAAGGGCAGTGGAGCCAGGACTGGCCTGGAGATGAAAGGGCTTGGGGCGCTGCTGGGCCCCCCAGTGCTCACAGGCGGGGTCCTGCGCAGAGGCAGGGGGTGGAGAACAGGGCAGTATAATAGCTCATGCTCCTAGATCCTAGAGAGACCAGGCAGAGCTGAAAAGGGAGCAGATGGCAAGCCCAATGGGAAGTTGAGCCTGCAGGGACTTTCTTGTTCACTAAGGCCTTAATGTGATGGGGAGCTGGCATGTGGGCTCCCAGGGTGCTTTTATAGCCAGAGTCCGGGGGTGAGGGTGCTGGGAGGAGAGGGGTCAGAAGGCTCTAAAACGGTCCTTCTATGGAGACAGCAGTAGGACAGTGGTCCTTCTCTTAGGGCCAGTGCAGGGCAACAGCTTAGTGAGCCCCTAAGTTGGACACTTGCCCCTAGCCCTGTCCTTGTTGCCCCACTGCGAGAATGCAGCAGGCCTCATCCCTCCCCCCACGCTACTCCATTCACCGTTTCCCCATAATGAGTGTGTGCCGGCACACACACACACACACACACACACACACACACAGTAACCATTGCCTAGAAAACCCAGTTTACTTTCTACTTCCTCCAGGAAGCCCACCTTGACTATACTCAAGGGAATCACTGCTCTGAGCTTCTGAACCCCTTACTGTGACCCTTGATTACAAACCTCTGCAATGACCCTTTGATGCTTTGACCAGACCAGGAGCCACCCAAGCTAGGGCATCTCTCTGCCTCCCGGCCTGCATTATGTATGTGTGTCTGTACATTGCGTGGGCACCCGAGGGCTTGGTGACAGCTGGCTGGTTGATTTGTTTCCCCCACTCATCCACTTCCAATCCAGTTGCCCCTGTGTACCCCTTCCCCATTCCAGGTTTTTCATCAGGAAGCTTTGGGGCAGGAAACCTGAGGGATGTTGCTGATTACAGTGTTCTTTCCCGAAGGGCACGTCTCGGGTCAGGACTTCCAGCAGGAAGTCTGTGTGTCCTAGTCCCTGTCCAGCCCTGCCAAGAGCAGACCTGCCTTGGAGCAGAGCAGAAGGTAATGTGGGCAAGACCGTATCTGCCCTAAACAGAAGGATGAAGTGGCATCTGTATACGGCTGCCACCCTCCCTCCTTCCCCCGCCTTCTCAGAGCCTTGAGCATAGGACCAAGGGTGTGGCCTCTGAGCCAGTTGCCCCTGATCCCATTTTCTATAGAGCTTAGGACCAGGGCAAGTGCCTGTCCCAGAGACAAGGGAGTCTGCCTTCTGGAGACCCAGCCGGGGCTTATGAAGGATGAAGAATACAAAGGAAGTAATCTCGTATAGTAAGACCTCCCTTTCATTCCAACAGCAACGTTTAAGACGACTATATAGCTAAATCAGATTCCAAAGGCCAAGTGTCTTCCTCTCCATTGGGTAATGCAGGTTTCATTTAATCATTTCATCGTTCATTGTTTACTGAGAACTTACTATCAATGAGATACTATGCTAGGTGCATTTGTTTTCTTAATTAGTCTTTGCAATAACTTTTGAAGTATATATCTTTAAGCCCATTTTATACACGAGGAAGATTGAGGTATACACAGGCAGTAAATGACAGAGAAGTATTTAATTCTACAGCTTTTGTTTTCCAGTCTCATGCTCTATTGTTTACAGCAGGGATTCCCAGGCTTTTGGAATTCACAGACCAATAACATTTCCAAAATGATTTTTGGGAACAAACATAGAACCCTATGCCAAGTTTTTAGTTAGCCAGAGACATAAAAAATACCATCTCCCAGAACCATGATTTCATAAAAGGGCGTTTTTAACACAGAGAATGTAGCAAGGATATAACCTTAGAATAAAGACAGCCTTCTAAGAAAGGACAGTTGGCAAACTTGCCCTAAAATATCTCACATTGTTCTCTCTCTCTCTGGGGTTTGTTTTTTTTTTTTCCATTTCAAGCAGAACTGGCTAAAACTTTGGTATTGCAGGGTGTGGGAGCCACTGCCCTACCCCAGAGCTGCCTCTTCAAGCAAGAACAATGCCCTTGGCCCATAGCAAATAAACTTCCATAATTTCCCACTCCAGCTCTGCCCATCCTGGTCCCCACCAAATAAGGTCTGAGGTTGATATATACAATCAGCTACATTCCACACTCCACCCCAGCAGGTCCTTTGAATTTCACTGATATTCAGGAAGCCCATCCACCCCAGTCCCCTTCTCTTTTAGACTCAGATGTTTTCTAAGTTTGCATTCCAGGGACACTCAGGCCTGGGCAGCCCTGTGGGGGCCCATATGTCTCCTGGAATCCCCCAGCCCCCCGTGGATGCTGAGAGCAGCAGGTCTTCTCCCTAGCCCAGTCCTGAGGCAGGTGTTCCCCTTGCTGAGGTCCCCAGGTCCTGGCTACTTGTTATCAGAGGAACCAGAGCAGACCCTAGGCTTCTAGGCAGTGCTGGAAAGGAGAGGCTTGAGACTCGAGTGGATAATGGGGAGATCACAGAATGGGGGGAGCATTCCCTGTCCATTCTTCACCTTCTTTCTGCTTCCTCTCCTTCCAGCACCTGTGCTTGCCCCCCCCAACCTGTGTGAGCCCTCTGAGCAGCAGAGCAGAGCCTGACCTGTGGGTACCTTGGTTGAAGTTCCAGCTCCATCATTTTCTTGCACTGGGGCATCTGGCACGTCACCTAACCTCTTTGTGCTTTAGTTCTCTCTGCAAATGGGAGTACAAGTGTTAGGCTGAGCCATGTGAAATTGCCAAAGTTTGAACACAATGAATGGGCCCACAAACACCACAATTTCCTGTGGTTTAACAAATCAGGTGTGAAGTGTTGGATATATGTCTCTCACCAAATCTGGCCCCCTCCTCTAGGAAGCCCTCCCTAGATACTTCAATCTCAGTGAGATCTCCCTTTCAAATTTCTCATGGTTGGGGCATGATCTAGTACACATTTCTTCCCTGTGTTGAGCTTTCTCCTCTATTCATGAGCATGAGTTTAGCCTCCTTCCAACCTGGAGGCCACCAAGGGCAGCACCTGGGGCTTCTCTGTCCCCAGACTGCTGGCATACCACAGATGTCCTCCATTAGGGCTTTCACACGGAAGAGACAGGAGAGGCCAGACCTCATCAGGGGTTACCGTAAGCCTGATTTATCTGATGGTCATTTCTGTACCCCAGGTTGGTCCTAGATGGTTGTGAATGGGTGTTGCTAGTCAAATTGAGGGTAGGTGAGGTGCTACAGGGGAGGAACTAAGAATCCCTGCCCCTGGCCACCCCTGGCAGCAGTATCCCAGGAAGCAGAACCTTGGTCACATCCTCTGTCTTCTCCAAGGATCCCTTTCCATGCCATCAGCTAAGGGACTTCCAGGGTCCCTAACTCATTAGAAGAGCTGACATTTATTGATCTGCTCTCTCTTCTCCAAGGATCCCTTTCCATGCCATCAGCTACTAGGGACTCTCCAGGGGTCCCTACACACTCATTAACAGAAGAGCTGACATTATTGAATCTGCTCCTGCCCAGCCACGCAGAGGTCCCAGAGATGAGTTGGACTCATCCACCCTACGGGACCCTCAGCCAGAAAGTGAGACATAGTGTGCCTAGTGCTCCAAGGTTCATCGGGAGCTAAGGGACCACGTGATGTTACGAGGTTCTGGCCCTGGGAACCAGTGGGGCGGACTCTCTGACTGAGTTAGGGCAGACTAACCCCACGAAGAACGAGAGCGAAGAAGTGGGCGGGGAGAGTTACATAGGAGGTCCTTCCGCGTTGGCCGGCACACAGGGCAGGACAGGGCTTGCAGCCTGTTAAGGAACACTCTTCTCCAAGAGACCTCAAGGCATTCAGGGACAGGCCTCCCAGCTCCGTGTGAGAACTGTCGCTCAGAGCTGCTCCAAAAGTAAAATGCAGCTATGGGGTGAGTCATCACCCAGGGCTCCTTCCGCCCGCCCTGGGAGTCTGGTTCCAGTGGGTGGAGCAGAGCAGGCGCCATGCCCAGGCTGACCCCACCTCTGCCACTAAAATGCCCCGTTCGGATGGCGGTTGGGAGAGGAGGTGGTCACAAGTGGCGAGAGTGAGAGTAAAAAAACATTTGAAGAAAAAACTTCCTGTTTCTCTCAGAGATGGGCAGAGCCAGAGGACTTTTTGCCTCCCTCCTGCAGACCTTTGGCTGAGGATTCACCTTCAGCTAATCCTCGGTCCCCAACTTCCCCCAACCCCTTCCTCTCGTAATGCAATCCCTCCCCAGTCCCCCGTTTCTGACTAATCTGGGTGTCAGCTCCTCAGGGATGGAGGAGGAACGACTTACTTCAGGCTGAGGCTAGTGGGTTTTGTCCCATCAGGCCCGGCACTGTCACGGAAGAGGGCTCACAGCTGGACGTTCCGGACGCGGCAGACTCTGGGAGGGGGCTGTGCAGCTGCTGGGTGGGGGGGGGGTGGGGAGGGGTGGGCGTACTGGGTGGAGCGGGAGCTCCCCTGGCATGCGGTCCACACAGAGTGCCTCAATTGGAGAAGGGACTCCAAAGCCACCCGAACACCACCCAGGGGTCGGCCAGAGGAGCCGCGCACCCCCCGCGGCTGCACCGCCCGGTCCATCGCAAACCCTCTCGGGAACAGCTCCGAAAGACCCAGCGCCGGACCCAGCGCCCCTCCCGCGTCCGTGGCTCCGCAGGCGCATTTCCTCCATCTGGCCGCGAAGGGCTGCCCCCACCGCACGCCGTGCTGTCGCCCCGATTCCTCAAGAAACGCCCTCCTAACCGGCCGACGCCAGGAAAGCTGGCGCTGGATTCGCCCGCCCGCCCTGTCGCAGAAACCCCGGGACCGCCGACGCAGACGCCATTTTCCCGGAAACCCTCCTCACGCCGGGTCGGTGGAGGCCCGGGGATCCGCACGCAGACGCCCGGCGCCCTCACCCCACCCGCCGGGAGCGAAGAGGCCGAAAGGCCGAGCCCGGCGCCCGGAGAGGGAGGCCGGGAACCCTCCGCCCCGCATCGGGACGGGGCATCCGGCCGCAGCAGGAACCCTAGACTCGAGGCGGCGCGCCCGCAGCCCGGCAGCCAGAAGTAGACTCGAGGCCCAGGGCTGAGGACGCCTCTCACTGCGCCTCCGCGCCCCGCCCCAGCCCCCTCCGGCCCCGGCCCGCGCTCTGCCCTTTAAAGCCAGTATGCAGTCCGGGCCGCGGGGCAGCTATGGCAACTCGCGAGCCGCAGGCGCTTCATGATAATTCCGGGCGCGGGAGCCCGAGCGCTGCCGGAGGCCTCTCGGGGAGCGCCCGTTTGGAGAACCCGCGGGCCGCTGGCCTCGCGCGGCTGCGGCGGGGGCCCGCGGCCGCCGGGCTCGGCCGGGAGGGGAGGCGAGCTCCGCGGACTGGCACACAAGCCCGGAAGCGGACCGACGACAGCCGCCCGCGCCGGACGCAGCCGGAGCCAAGCGGCCGTGCCTCGCGCTCCGACGGCTCCCGGGACGCCGCGCCAAAGGCGCGGCTGTGCCGGCCCCATTGTTCCCCGCGGGGGCGGGGGCGCCTGGAGCACGGCCGCCGCCGCGCCCCCTGGCGCGGAGGGAGGCGGGAGCGGGGGTCCCGCGCCCAGCCGGGCCGCGAGAGGCGCAGCGCGGAGAGTCCCGGGACGGGAGCCGACTGGAGCCTCCCGCGGCGCCC